AAGCAATCAAAATTGCCTCAAACAGATTGCAAACCTTTCCCCCCTCCTTTTTTTCTTTTCCTTTCTTTATATGATAATAATTTATGTATAATCATAAAACACATATTATCTTATTTTATTTTAATGTGCAGACATAACTTAAAACCAGTACCTTATATAATAAAATTTTTTCAAAAAAAAATTTTTATAAACGACAATAAAAAGATTATATAAACACATAAAAACTAGTCATATTAAAGGAAGGATTTCATAAATTAACAAAAAAAAAAACACATTACATACATACTAATAAAAGTTTACGAGAAAATAATGAAGTAAAAAAATGAGGAAGGGAAGAAAACGAAGAAAAAGCGAAGTAAGATGGGGAAAGTGGACTGAGGAAATATTTGTAATAGGTAAGAAATGTTTCGGTCCATTAATTCGTATACATTTCTTCCCGTTACCACAATTGGACCTCGTCAATGCAACGATTGTGTTAACAAAGACAAATTAGATGGTTTAGTAAGGTATAGAAATTATGGTACAGATACTAATGATAACACGGTTCAGCCATAATGAATATTGATCATATAACAAAATGCTGATAAAATCGAAAAGATGATCCATACCCCCATAATGGATGACGTTACGAACATCGGGTTTATCGATTCCCATCCCGAAAGCGACTGTTGCAATCATTGTTGTTACACGATCCTTCACAAAATTTTCATGAGATTTCCGCCGCGCAGCTGGTGTCATGCCCGCATGATAGCGCACACACATCACACCTTTCTCTGAAATGAAATAAGATAAATAAAATAAAATAAATAGCAACGCGCACCAGACTAGTCGGTGCGATCATTTTGTGCAATTCAGCCCATAACGATATTTGCCTGTTAATGATTTTCACTGCTTTGTACTTTAGTCTATGCAAAAATAGTTCAAACATTGAAAACCAGACGTAATGATTTTTACTTCCTTGTACTTTAGTCTATGCAAAAATAGTTCAAACATTGAAAAACAGTTAAGAAAATGATTTTCACTGCTTTGTACTTTAGTCTATGCAAAAATAGTTCAAACATTGAAAAACAGTTAAAGATTGATTTTCATTGCTTTGTACTTTAGTCTATGCAAAAATAGTTCAAACATTGGAAAACAGTTAAAAACTTCACGCACCAGCGTTTGGAAGCTGAATTCGAAACCTTGAAGGATGAATATCTTTCCGTGATTCCCGAGTTAACAGTTTACCCACCAAAATTTTCACGAGGCCGCAGGTGGTAATCGAGAGCGCGAGAACGCTGGATTTGAATA